GAATTCCATGTGTCAAGCCACTTCTCAACTAAAAACAATGTTAGAGGCATCTGAGCTGGGCTAAAGAGAAAAGTGCAGTGGTGCGTAGTGGTCCCCCTCTTTTCAGATGAATGCAAATTTTGTATTTCATTTGGAAATCATGATCCTAGAGTCTGGAGGAAGAGCGGAAAGAGATAAAAGTCTACTTGCTTAAAGTCCAGCGTGAAGTTTCCACAGTCAGCGATGGTTTGGAGAACCATGTCATATGCTGGTGTGGGTCCATTGTCTTTTATCAAGTCCACAGTCAGCGCAGCTCTATACCAGGACATTTAGAGCACTTTATGCTCCCTGCTGCTGAAAAGCTTTTTGGAGATGATGATTTTATTTTCCAGCAGGACTTGGGAGCTGCACGCAGTGCCAAAGCTACCAGTACCTGGTTTAAGAACCATGGTATCGCTGTTCTTAATTGGCCAGGAAACTCACTGAAATCACCCCCTCTTAAAGGGTCAGGAAACACCAAAACATATGTTTTGGGATGTTGACAGTCATATATGTGTCCCACGCTGCTATAAACACTATTAGGACACATATATTTCACAAAAAAGTGAAAATTGTTTGGAAAATTGTTTTTCCAACCAAAGACTTCAAATCAATCAGCGCGCTCTATTGTGTATAAGGTGCAATTTCATTAATATGCATTATAGCTTTGAAGACTGTTCTTACCTGTTACAGTGTTCAGAAGGCAGAAAGACGCCACGTTGTGTTGCCAAAACAAATGGAAGAAGAAGAATTGTTTGGAGACACAGGTCGTCAGTACTGTGTTTATAAATGTGCTGCAACAAAGGTTTTGTTTTCATTTCCCGCTACGAGAGCGCAGCTGGACTCATGTGTAGAACACAGTGCACTGCTAACACGCGACAGAATTAAGATTGTAAGGAACATTTTTTACCTGAGAGCTTTTCGCATCTGGAAATGGTGAAATCCGGATGTGCCGCTTGTCTTCCTCTAAAAAAGATGCGGTTCCAGTTGGTGTAAATGCTGTAAATCCTGCTCTCCGAGTGTAAACATGTAAACACCGCAATCAAACTATTACCGTCGTGTGAAATTTTTGCCGAATTTTGTGACTGGATAGTCAATACACACATATCTTTCTGACGCTACGTACAGAGTGCATCTAAGTTACCAAAAAATGCGAAGGTTTTTTTTTTTCTCCCATTCGCCATGCAGTATCAAACATTTTATCAAAAATACACACTAGTTCCTCACATTCAATATCTCGTTTGTCATGGGGCGTATGTATGAAAAGATCATGAATGAAAGTGAAAGTGCCAAACTGCAGATAAAGTCCACAAATTAATAATTTGGCAAATAATTTGATTACTGATGTCCATGTAAACATAGTTACTGTCTTTCTCCCACGCGTATGTGTTTGTTTTGCCTTTGTGAAAATCAGCGCGTACCCAAACGGAAACTCACATTTTTATGCAAAACCTTACCTCTTTCCCACCCCCGACACTCCCACCTAAACGGAGCTGGACACACCCACTTTCCTGACTTTTTATTTTCAAACTAGATGTAAAAACACCCTGCTGAGACCAGGGGGATTCAATGCCTTTTAAAACCCATTGAAAATCTATGGGCTATAGTCCAAAAACCCCAAAATGCAGACGAGCTGAAGGCAACTTGGGCTACCATAACAACTCAGCTATATCAAAGGCTGATTTCCTTCATGCCACACCGCCTTGATACTGTAACTAGAGCAAAAGGAGGTCTTACAAAGTACTGAGGACACAATACAGTACATTAACACACTTTAAATGTGTTTAAGATCTTTTTTTACTGGTCACATCAAATATTCTAATGTATTGAAATACTAGATTTGAGGGGGGGGGGGTATCTTTAATCCATAATTATTTAAACTAAATCAAATGAAGGCTTGAAATATTTCACTTTGTGTGTAGTGAACTAATATAACACAGACGTTTCACTTTTTGAAACAAATTATTAAAATAAATAGACTTTCCCTTGATATTCTAATTTGCTGGCACATACCTGTACACTTCAATATATCAAGCACGTCCAGTACTTCATGTCTCGTTACACAATTTTACTGGTTTCCATGTAAAATTGGGCTTTGCAAAGAAACAAATCTGGACTGCTAGAAAGAAGCAGGATATGCTGCAATAATTGTTTTATCTAAGATATACTTTTTTTGTTTTTTTGATAAACCACCAAAATCAAATCAAAATATTGATTAACAGCACATCAATTATTTTTGTTGTACCTGCGTACCACTTATGTCCCATCAGACAACATCTACCCTGACGCAACCATCTCAACATAAACTCCAACATTTCTGATCAGATGTCTTCCGAGACGGACTGATCTGTTCTCTCCACAATCAGGTCTGTGTAAAGACACTTTGAGCAGAAGCATCTGGGATGAGGCAACTTTATGTTGAGCGATGAAAAAGCAAGTGAGAAGTTACAACAAGGCACAGATACGGAGCGCACAAATGCAGTGCAGATTGTTTTAGTTACGTAAAAAAGGTGATGAGTTTTTTCTACAGTTAAACAATGAGCTCTTTTTGATTTCATATGGACTTCATAAAGCAATAGAGAAGAGTGAAGCATGAGCACGTCTTACATACTTTCTGTGAAATGCAATTCTTCAACAAAGACTTTCAATGCATTTATCTGACATGGGCAGATTGCCCTAGTTCTAGGAATGTGCAAAATCATATTTGTGTGTGCAAGTGTGTAGGAGTGTGCTTGTGTGTGTGTGTGTTTTAAAGGTTGTCAAGTCAATGATGAGTAAATGACGGCAGAATGTTTTTTTTTTTTTTTTTGCTGAACTGTCCCTTTAAGATGTTAACAACAACAAAAGTGTATCAAACTAACTTACAGTAGATGGTGGTAAAACTATTCTCCTTAAGTTAGTCAATGTTTTGATTTTGGTATCTTTCAATATCCTAAAATTATTATATATTTTTTGTTTAATTGTTTTTTATATATGCTTTCATTATGATTATTAGCTTCAGTTAAAAAAGCTCACGTAGCATAAATATTGTTTCTTACAACCGCAAAACCATTTGCTGAATTCAACATTACCAAACTACTGGTTCAGTTTGAGGTCAATTTGTTTGTTATTTTAAATAAATGAACAATTCATTTGATTAATCATTTATTTTACAATTACTTTACTAATTAATTTTTTGAAGAAAGACAAGGGGAAAGTTTGCTTGTTCTCCCCATGTTTGAGTGGGATTCCTCCAGGTGCTCCAGTTCCCCCACAAAGACACGTGCTATAGGTCAATTGAAAAAGCTAAATTGACTGTAGTGCATGAGTGTGTGAATGCAAGAGTGTAAAGATGTTTCCCAGTACTGGGTTGCAGCTGGAAGGGCATCCACTGCGTAAAACACATCCTGGATAATTTGGTGGTTCATTCTGCTGTGGCAACCCCTGATTAATAAGAGACTAAGCTGAAGGAAAATGAATGAAGGAATGAATGAGACAAGGGGGATATACTGTAATCTGAGAGAAGAACAAAATCTAAGGAGGTTAATAACACGGACAACTTTAAAAAGTTATATAAATAATATAACATTTCTACATGCAGTGATAAAAAATGTATTAAAAAATGTATTATTAAAGGAATATGTTGACGAATAGGGATGATTGTAAAAGATAACTAAATGAGAAAGGTACGATGATATTTAAGTTAATGGCTGTTGGCAATACTACATATGTTTTGGGTATAAGTTATAAAAGGAAATGTACAAATGGTGAATGAACCATATAATATGTAAAATATGCCAAAAGGATGAAATATGTCTCATGTACAATGAAGAGATAAGTAAAAGAAGAAATAAGCTGAAGTAATGGACAAATGATGTCTGTGGTAATGAGGTGGGGAAATATTAAGCTTACACTTCATCCCGCTCCATTTCGACCATGATGAAATGCAGTTTGTTAAAAGATTTGTTTTTAAGTGTATGATTTCTTTTTGTTCAAAATTAATACATTAAATTAAAATCAAATTTTATGCAAGAATGCAAAAGTGGCATTTAAGAATATATCTTTTTAAACTGCATTTTTCTTTACTTTTTTCTTCATTGACAATTCTTAAACATTTCATGTGGTTCAACTATAATCAAAAGAAGCTCCAAGAACAAATTTGTGCACCAAAAAAACAAAACAAAAACAAAAGTGTAACAACTTAGATTTGCATAGACATTTACTACAGGCAATATGATGTTTATGTGTCATGCTGCTCACTCTAATGGCAATGCGAATGCAAAAAAAAACTATGGCCTAAAAAGTATTCAAAGGTGAACAAAGTTGCTTATACTGTTATTATGGTGAACAAGTGTGTTCTAGGGGCTTTGTGTGATTACAGTTAAACCACTGAAGTTACACATGTTTTAACAATGATTTTGGTTCCTTTTCTGGACCATTTCAAGACCATTTATTCATTTGCTTTCCAGCTTAGTCCTTTTATTAATCCAGGGTCGCCACAGCAGAATGAACCGCCAACTTATCCAGCACATGTTTTACGCAGCGGATGCCCTTCCAGCTGCAACCCATCTCTAGGAAAGAACCATACACACTCAATCCCACTCATACACAACGGACAATTTAGCCTACCCAATTCACCTGTACCGCTTGTCTTTGGACTGTGAGGGAAACCGGAGCCCCTGAAGGAACTCACGCGAACGCAGGGAGAACATGCACACTCCACACAGAAACGCCAACTGACCCAGCCGAGACTCGAACCAGCGACCTTCTTGCTGTGAGGCGACAGCACTACCAATTGTGCCACTGCGTCGCCCCATTTCAAGACCATTGACATCTAAAATATCTCCATTTGTGTTCTGAAGATGAATGTAGGTCTTGGAGTATTGTAATGACGTGAGGACGAGGAATTAAAAACAGAGTTTTCATTTTTAGGTGAACTAACCCTTTAATTCTCATTTACCTCAAGTGTAAAGGAAAATTTACTTTTGTTTTTCATACTGTACCTTGTTGAATGACTGTTTCACCAGCGATGTGTGTGACCGGGAACATGGCATCAAATATGTCACTGTGGAAAAAAGAGAAAGAGACATTAGATTAATCTCTCATTCAGTCTCTGGAAATTCAAAGACAACCAGCATTCAGTTTACAGGTCCAGTGAAGTGCTTTGGAATGTGCATGTTTTATTCGATGTTTTACATAATCTCAACTGAACATAAAGGCAGGATAGGACATTGAGTAGCTCCTGAGCTGAAGTCGTTGTTTAGTAAAACAAAGAAAACAAACTGAAAATTGCTTTGACTTTGCTGCGTCTCTCGTTTTTAAAATAAGAGTCCCACATACATAGAAAGTTTAATATAAATTTTGATAAACTTACTGTATAAATAAGGGAGGAAATTATCAGAAAATGTGGCCTGCATCAGTCTGTGTTTTGGCTGATGATCTCTTGATGACACAGCCGCTCGTCAGGTCTGGATGATGTAGAAAGTGACCTTAAGCATATGAAATCTTGAGGGCGTGCCCCGTGAGTCACACAACAGTCTGCTTTGTGTTCTGATAGACTTGTTTTCCACACTCGTGGAATTTACATGGGAACAAGGAAACAATGGTGTTTGAGGCTCACTATATGGCCATTTCTATGTAAACTCTTATTATTTGATCTTCTTTAATAGGCACCTTTAACAGTAATTTATAATGGAGTCATCTATAATAGCTTTCAAGTCAAGTCACAGATTTCACAGAAACACGTTTAATAGAAGACAACAGTCTAACCACGAATGCTCATACTTTGCTCTTTAAACAAGAAATATGTGTCCATGTGTGTTTGTGCATGAAAGCAAAGAGCGTCGTAAGTGTTACGAGTTTATGACCCTGATAATGCACTTGCATTCTTTGTGTTTGTGCTGCTACCGCTGTGTCAGCCACTATACATGACCCCTGACATCCTACCCACAATACACCTCTCTAGTTACTGCTGCTCACGGCACGCAGTGTTTGTTCTCTGCTGTTGTGTTGTCAATGTCATGTTTGCACGGTGAACATGTAAATACGCTTGACACCAAAGGGTACCTGATTTGAGAAACAATTCATGTATGGGACACGAACAGTGTGTACAACTTATTTTTTTAGAGTTACTGATGAATTTTTAGGATGTTTCATGGATATATCCAAAAATTGCTTTTATAACTATTATTATAATATTTACTAAATTTAATATGATGCTTTTTTTTTTTTTATTATATTCAAAACTACCTGATGAAAGTCTTGTTTTCTATCCAAGTTTTAGGAACAGCAAATAATAACTTGACTTCTAGTTGATCATTTGGTATCAGAAGTGGTTTATATGAAAGGTAGAGGCCTCTAGATTACGCTTATTTTACCATAATAAAATATGATCATGTCTTGATTTATAATGATTTAATTAGGACAGTAAGGTCTGACTATGCTCAGACAAAAGTCTTGTCACTTAACAGAAATAATGTACAGTATAGAATATAAAGTCATGCTGCACTGGAAAAAGAATGAATATTGTGTATGACTCCCATGAGCTTGGAGGACTGCATCCATACATCTCTGCAATGACTCTGTCTTGCAGGACTCCCAGAGTTTATCAAGATTCATCTTCAATGCCTCCTCCATCTTACCCCACACATGCTCAATAATGTTCATTTCTGGGGACTGTGCTGGCCAAACCTGGAGCACCTTGACCTTCTTTGCTTTCAGGAACTGATGTAGAAGCTGAAGTATGAGAAGGTGCACTATCCTGCTATACATTTGTTAACACTCACTGGCTAAAGAAAGTTAATGCATAAGTGTTTTCATTTGTAATATAATAGTTATTAACATTATTATTATTATCTTTACTATTAAACTTAATTAATGATTTTAATTATAAAATACTAAGGCTTGGGCGGTAATACAGTAATATAGTTTACCACAGGATCTGAAAATAATAATGGTATCAGTTTCAATACCACTATAAAGTCATAAAAAAACATTGCACTTATATAGGAAACAAGGATTAAATAATAAATATAATGTATTTAATGCTGAAAAATGCATATGCGTGGTTGTCATCATAGAACAGCGTGGAGGAGAAAGAGAGAGGTGGGGAGAGATGGCGAGTCATGCACCAAGCGACCTGGTCTCGAAAAAAAACACAACTTCTGCCGTTTTGCAATATTTCAGGGTTCGACCAATTTAGAAGTGAGAGGAGGTACACTGCAAAAAATGCTTTTCTTGCTTAGATTTTTTGTCTTGTTTCTAGTCTAAATATCTAAACTTTCTTATATCAAGAAGCATTTTCTAGACAAGCAAAACATATTGTCCTGTTTTGAGAAATAATATACCAATATTAAGTGAGTTTTTTTCTTTAAACAAGCAAAATAATCTGCCAATGGGGTAAGCAAAATAATCTTGTTTTTTCTTTTGACGTAAAATTATTTTGCTTACCCCATTGCTTACCCCATTTTGCATACTCTTCTGCTCGACGCCAGTGAAAATCGCTTGGGTTTAAATCCGGAAAAAACGTCTCGAAAAATCGCTGACGATAAACGTAAACAAAAATCGTCCCGGTGTGTACGAGCCTTAATACCGTATACCAAAGTAAAATAGGGAGGAAGTTTGATGGTATCAAAACCAAGATGGTACCCGCCAAGCCTAAAAATACTGCAGAAGTAATGTTCATTGTTAGTAAATGTGAAGTAATGTAGTTAACATTGTAAAGTGTTTTTCATTTAATATAATAAACTAAATAATATATTTTACTAATATATTTTAAGACACAAAAAAATCTACTAAAATAGTAAATAAAAATACTTTAAATTAATATAATATAATTATATTGTTATATTAAACAATTCTAATGTAATCATCTAATATATATATATATATATTAATATTTTTTATAATATAATAAATATTAAATATTTTAAATATTATAAGACTATATATTTTTGTTTATTAAAATGTATTACAATAATTTAATTATTTTTATAATACTATATTATTGTACAATAATAATAATGTATTTTTCCTCTCATTTTTACAGATTTGTTTCTATATTTACTATTTATTTTTACGATATCTACGTGTGTTACACCAACATTTTTAACAAAACATTGGTGGCCATAAAAGCAAGACCAAACAAAACATGTATGAACGGTTGCTAAAATGCGTTCCTTTGAGTTGTATTTCCATGAATATAAAAGTAATTGCATGCATTATACTTCAGAGGAAGCAGTAATGCAATGATTAGAGGCATTGAAGCTCATATTCCAGCCTTGAGAGCGAATAATGGAGCATCTGGTAGGTGGTCTTCAGTCTTTCAGGAGTTTACTGAGTGTAAAGGATGTTTATTTAAAGCGCTCTCATCAGTTGTCTGCCAGTGGGGATTCCCCCGACTCGAACCCTGCGGCATTACCAGACACACGGCTTCACTGTGAGATGAGGATGATGGCTCTCTGGGGGTCTGAACCGCGGGTATTTTAGTGAGATGAAGTGGTTAAAACAGCCATTAACAAAACATGGTGGTTAAGCTCAGTGAGTGTGATGTCATGGAGAATGATGTCAGGAGGAGGGAAGATCAGAGGAAAGTGTTGAGGTAAAGTGAGGGGAAAGGCATTGAGAAGGTGGCTGGTGACGAGCACTCTTACGTTGGAGAAAACACTGGGTGAGAAGTGTTTGAGAAAGACTGCAAAGCTCAACTATAGGGATGTTTGCAATAAACTCAGCATCATTAGCTCTACTGGTTCAGTTTGGGGTCACTATTATATTTGTTAAGCACTGTTAAACAACAAATCCTGATTAGGAACATCCAAAATAAAAGTTTAGTATGTACAGTTTTCTACAGATCCAAAAATATAATTGCCTCCCATTGAGCCTGTAAATACTGTAAGCTATTACATTAAACAATCAACAAACAAAGTAAATACTATAAATACTATAAATACTATAGTGTTTTGAAGCATATAGATAAATAATTACTTGAATAAAACTGCCATTTAAATGCTCTATATGGTTGCTGTGTTACAACACAACTATAGTAATAAACAAATTGTCCAATAGGAAACATTTATGGCCCTGTCTACACTAATACCAAGTGTGCCGCAAGCCTGCGTTTGAGTGAAGGTCTCGGCCGTTAGATCGCCCCCTGGGGGCTGGCTGCAGTACAAGTCATAAAGCCCGCCTCCTCCGTGTTAATGAAGGAGACTTGAGCCCAAATAAAAAAATGTATTACACTTGCAATAAAATGTCCCGAAAGATGGTTCTGGTGGATTAAGGCACTGGTTATTGTGCTGAAATAGGTGCAGATCTTCATTTTTGTAAACAGTTTGTTTCTAGCAGTAATTTAATGCTGGGCGTGTCATCGTGATTGACAGCTGTGATTGACAGTTTCTCAAAGCAGCGCGTCTGAGCTTCAGCAGGAGACTGAAGCGTTATTATTCGATTTCTGTGTTATTTTACCATGACAAATTGAGTTCAGCAGTAAACTATAAATTCTGACATACATGATCCTGGTGGAACACTGTTTACTCACTAAGGTCAGGGCTTTTTTCGGGCTTTATTAGTTTGCTGATACTCGCCTAACCACCCAGATAGCAAAATACACTCGAGCCAGTTCCAGCTAGATTCTAGCCTGCCGGAGACTTTTACCCCTCAGAGCTCAGACTGACTACCTCTGCTTGACCTACTCCGGATGCCTGGACTCACTGCCCGATTTCAGCCCGAGTCAATCGAGCCAGATGCGGCGGCCGAGCGAGCCGGCGCTGCCGCATGCAAGCCGGAATCAGCCCGCGACGCCGCGAATAGGATATGTGCGCTGCGGCCTGGAGCTGGCGCGATTAAATATATAAAACCCTCATATTTGTTAACGTTATTACATCCATTTGTGTTGATATGACAGCAAACGCATGCTGAGAAGTTCGGGGGGCGTAGTTGATTTTACATAAAGCGTTTGGTTGGAAGCTCGACTCCGCTAATTTTCGCGGCTCCTCCTCTGGCTCCATCAGACAGTCCTTATGCGCATGTCAAGGCTCCAATTTCAGCAGTCTTTTGCGACAGTTTGTG